TTTACATGGGCTGGGCCAGAATCAGGTCAAAATTGGGCGAAAATCAAGTAGTAAGCCCAAGTTTGTCTCACAATCCAGTACAACTCTCCTTCCAAGTTTGGCCCATTTGTTTATTAATGCCAGGTATTGATCTTGTGTACGCTATATGCGTAATGGAGCGCCAAGGTGGCAAGAGAGAAACTTCTGGGCCTTTCTGGAATCCACATAACATAAATGCGTGGTTGTCAGGTCAAATGCCTTGTCGCCGTCACATTCCAATCCAGCCCATCAGCATTATTATTGGCTAAAATGCCTTAAAATGACAAGGCTGGTCAACAATGAACTTCTTCAAGCCTGATGACAGTGGAAACAAGCTTGATCTGCTAGTGCAACTATATTGCTCTGTCCTGCATTTTTAATGTTTCATCATCATCTAAGCTTTATCTCAATTATATATGATCTCAGTTATATGACCCTTGTTTGGCTGTGTCTTTTTATTCAAAATGAGGATTCATACATTTGGCAAAAATTTTAATGTGGCAGTCTATCTTACACAACCCTCTTCTTCTTGGGCTTACACCGGTGGTGTTGTTTTTCTTTGGGCTTTTTAGTAGGGGGTGCAATTTGGATAGATTGGAGTTGGGAAATTGTTAAAATGTTAATGGGCCCAGACGAAAATCTAGGGCCTATAAATTCTCCAAATTAGGTATTGGATTTGTACCCTTAGTTTTTTGACTAAATTATTCCTTCTTCTTTGCTGAAAAGGAGAGTGGACACAGGCAATAGCAGCCCTCTTAAAATGTTCATTTTAAATCTGGCCAAGAAAAAGAATATCATAAACCCAAACCTTAAGTGCAAAATGCCCAATTTTAGTCATAAATAGACCTAGGTGTAGGCTGAACTCACATCAAGCCCAGAATAAACACTGAAGATGGGGATGATGAAGATGTGGATCAATTGCTTTGCATACTTTTAAAGTACTATTTGCTCTGATGAAATTAATAAATCAATGTGAGATTGGTGGTAATAATAATGACTTATTAGATGCGGAAGAAAGTGTCATTGTTTTATGGTTGTTATAGAAAATATAATATTTTTAACAGGAAGCTGATTCCGCTTTAAATGTTGAGGATTCCTTTTTTCTCTTGGCAAGTCATGGTTGCCTATGTCTTGGATGAGTCCTCAGTGGGGTGTCATTAAAATTAATTTTGATGCTTCTATGGTCTGTGTTATGTTGCATGTATTGCTTAATATCACTCACTTTGAAGGAGTTCTTGACCTGAAACTTAAAGCCTATCTTATTGGTATGTCCTCAATTTATCTAGCTGAGGCTTCGGCTATTTGGGAAGTTCATAATTGTGCTCTCAATTTTAGGAATTGGCTGATCATCATCGAGGGTGATTCCAAGTTAGGCATTGATTGCTTAAGTAAGGAAATGCCCCCCCCCCCCCCCCTGGACCACCAAATAATAACATCAAGTCATCAACAAACAACTTAGCTTCCTGAGCCAACTTATGAGGAGCTAAAGTATAATTTCTAGAAATACATTTGACCTGAACATTTCAAAACGGATTAGATACTGGATTCATGGAAACTTCAATTTAGTTTGGTTTAAACCAATCTTTGAACCAAATTTGAGTTCAATATGTAGATTCATTTACTAATCGAACCAAACTTGAACCTAGTGAAACTTAGTTCATGAGACTCACAAGTTTAAATAATTTTTCCTTTTATTTTTATATGAAAAAATTGATTCATTATTGAACTCAAATATACGAGTGGCCTTTATTCAGCTTGTACGGGTGGTCTTTATTGGATTTGTCGATGATAAACCAAAACAAAATAATAATGGGCCAATAATATGTCCCAAGCATGAATCCATCTCAGGACATCTAACTGAGTAACTGTGGTCTGGGTTCAAGTCCAATTATCTAGCATGTGGACATAAATATTAGTGTGGAGTGTGGACAAAAACTGGTATCGGGACTGGTCCAGAAAAAAGTTGCTTTATATATTCTCATTTGCCAGGCCTAATTTGGTCCTTTTGGCGGGTCTGGATCTGGACCGAACCACTTCCACTTCCAAAGCCTTATTAGGGTTGAACCCAATTTTAATTTTTGCTCAGATTATTATGTCAATGGTTCTGACAAGGATGGATAAATTAGTGAAGTTGAATGCTAGTTTGAAAAGAGTATAAATACAAATATATATAAGTATAAAATTACAAAATACAAATCTTTACACTCTATATATTGATATTTATACTCAAATTTGCACGGTTCATTGAAACAGGAGTGGTAAATCCACATTCACCCAATTCCTATTAATTCCTATTGGGTTAGTGTTGGGTCAACTTTAATCGGGTTTTGCGTCAAATAAACCTGAATTGAACCCAACCCCATTGAGTCGTTGACATTGCAGTATTTAACTATTCATGTATATAGGCTTCTTTGAGTCTAAATATATTATATTATATATGAGACTGTTGGTTCGGGTTTGATAATTCCTTACCTTTCAATCAGGTTGGAACAGGTTCAGGCTAATGCATCTTCGGGGTCAAATTTGGGTGAAGCCAAACCTGACTTGTTATGGATTTTGGGAGACGATTTCAATGCCCAAATCTATCTGAGAATTGGATAGAGAGGTACAAATATTAGAGCAATGAAAGAGTTGCACTGTTCTAACATGTGGTTTTTTAATGTGCTCTACCATAATGGATGCAAAAGAAATAAATAAATAAATTTAGGATCATTTATTAAAACACCCCCTATAGTTCTACATATTTACTTAAACAGTTAATTTGCCCTATGATTTGTATTTTACTAAAACACCTCTTATACCTTGCAAGTGTGGTTCGAAGGAAAAGGTAGGGAAAGAAAGGAAAATGTAGGAAAACCTTTACAAACCTTGTATAGGTTTTCCTGCCCTTTCCTTCCTTTACTTATTTTTTCCTTCAAACCAAACACAGCCTAAGTGTTTTGCCATCCGAGAGTAGTAACATGACCACCTAAAGTAAATGGAAAATGTTCAGGAGCATGGACCCATGGCTGTTTATTCTAAAATTACCCCTAAACTGAGTGGAAAATGTTCAAGAGTATGGATCCATAGTTATTTATTCCAAAAGTATCATTAACACTTTTTTATATAGAAAACAAAATTAATCAAATAGAGAAAAATAGTGGTTATTTGTGTTTTATTAGACGCAAAAATACTATTTTTGTTTTTAATTTCTTTTGATTAAATTTATTTGAATGGACGATAGGATTAAAACTGTCATTTTTCATTTTCATCTATGGAAAGGTCAGTTAAGTAAATTGATTATAAATTATAGAGAATATTTTAGTAAAACAGAAACTATAAGGTAAGGTAAGCTTTAACACCGCCCCAGTATATACTCCACTCAGTAGTCCATAGTCACTGCCAATTCTTGCTATCTTTTGTTTTTTATGTGTATTTATGCCACTGCCTAAAAGGCCATTTATTTTTCAGCGCATGTGAACTGAGAAAGCTGAGGTGCTTGGAAGCTAATAAACAGGGGTACAACTTGGCGGGGCATGGGTCGGGTGCTGTGTTTAATTCTTTAAATCGGGTATTCGAGGGAATAATTTTTAGAACTCAAAGATAAGATTTAGGCAAAATATATTATGGTGCAAAAGATGCAGTTGGTTGAATGTGAGGGTAAATTATATTTATTAAACGTAAAAGTATATTTTATGAAATATGAATCAATGAAAAATAAACAGATTAATATATTTTATAAAATATATTAGTGAATGTACCATAGTTGAAACTCTAAGATTTAACATACAACCAACATTAATTAGTGAATGTACCATAGTTGAAACTCTAAGATTTAACATACAACAAAAGATGCAGTTGGTTGAATGTGAGGGTAAATACAATTTGTTAAACACGAAAATATATTTTATGAAATATAAATCAATGAAAAATAAACAGACTTTAACATGATTGGTTGATATCAAGATTTAACTCTAAGATTTATGACCTTCAAGGAAAAACTAAAGTTTTAGTGGTATAAGTTTTTTATTCTTTTCTCTCTTTCTTCATTTTTTTTGTTTTTATTTCTTTTGGGAAACACAAGACTAAGGATCCCGTGTCAAAGAAAAACAAGTGTTTGGGGTTGATCAAGGATCCTAATGGTGTGCCAAAGAAAAACAAATTTCATAAAATCCTTAAAAATATTCCTTTTACTTTTTATTTCAATTTTTACCAAACTAACCACACTCAATGAAGAATCGGTTCTTTGGGCCTTCAAAATTATCTATGAGGATATTGTTCTAAGACGGGAAGGGTGCTATAAGAGTTTCTCTTTTTTGTTTGGAATATTATTGAATTTGAAATTAAATAAGCTATAAAAAAAAAGGACAAATAAGGGACTGAGTGAGATAAGGTGCATGAGAAATCTCCAAAAACAGCCTAAGATGTTTGTTACAAGCAGCCCGGCCTTTCTCTGGGCTATGAGAGGAAGTCTCATCCTTGCCGGTTGCCAAAAGCACTCATAATAGTGAGATGCAAATTGAAAGAGACTCGGAACTGAAGCAATTAGGGATGCCAAAAGCACTCATAATAGTGAGATGTAAACCAGTCCTTGATAATTTTTTATAATGCCTAAAATACTCCCGTGACGGTTATACCTCCTCCTTCTCCATTCATTCGAACCTCAAAACCAAGTAGTGGCGCACCAATTGCAAGTCCATTGGCGACGATCGGCGGTGAACCCTGTTTGTCGTCCGAAGGTGTTGTTCTCCATGCATAGAAAGGTGAGACCATCCGACCTCAGTATGTGAAATATATATCGATCTTCAAAAAAAACAGAGTCTTGTATCAGCTTCAGACAACAATTTCTCCATGATCCTTCGTGCAACAATGCCTGTGTTCCCAGAGATAGCGCTGAACTCTGCCAGAACGATTGTCTTTCACGCCACCACTGTGTAGAGAATTGCCATTATTGCAGAGCTTCGAGATTCCTACTCGATCACGGAACTCTCTTCAAAGATTCTCTAGTTTCTTTTCCGTCTTGGACAGATCGAAAGACATAAGTGGCTCTGGTGGCGAATGACAATCGATAGAGAGGGAGAGGACGTTGGAAGTTGGAAAGGCAGCCTCTGTGGAAAGTCCCACTCTGTCACTAGAAGGCGGAGGTAGTTCATTTGTTCGGTGCGCTTTTGGATTGCATTCTCTGCGTAGATATGAGCATTGTCCATGTTACCCTTCTCGATAGCTTTCTTGACGTTGAGTTTCTCGGATTTCTTGTCCTTCTTGCACTTGTGAGCTTGGCGTTGGATGCTCTTCGACGTGAACTTGAGCTCCATGATCTGATTCATTAGCTTTTCTGCATTTCCCATGGCGACGAATCAATGAATCGATCACGATCGATTGATCAATCTGTTAGGGTTAGGGTTTCGGTGAAGTGCCAAATAATTATTATTATTATTTATTGTTTATTATTTTATTATTATTATGATTATGATTATTATTGTTATTAATTGAGTCCACATGGCGATTCATGTGTGGATCCACGTGGGCTCCCAATCGTCATGAAGTGGGGTCCATGTGGGCTCTCAGTTGAAATGTATAGTATAGCATGTGAAAAGCATTATATATATGTATGAGTGAAGTGAGGGCTAAAGTTGTCATTTGCATCAATATAAGCACTTATGGGGAAAGTAGCTTACCAAACATTCCCACCCCAATAAGTGCTTAAAAACATAATAAGTGATTTGAAAAGTGGGTTACCAAACAACCTTAAGTGGTTGTTAAAATAAGTATTCCTAAGAAGTACTTAATCATCAAATAGGGTTTAGTCTTTTTCTTTAATAAGCACTTAAATAAGCATTTGTGACTGTTTTGTCCTTCATTTTCTTTCAAATTTTCAAAACATATCCTTTGAAAGCACTTTTATAAAATCACTTTATAAAAGTACTTTTATGAAAGAACTTTTACGAAAACACTTTTAAGAAAGCACTTTTGTGAAAGCACTTTTATGAAAGCACTTTTATAAAAGCACTTTTATAAAAGTATTTTTATGAGAGCACTTTTATAAAAGTACGTTTGCGAAAGTACTTTTACGAAATCATAAAAGTGCTTTCATAAAAGTACTTTCTTAAAAATGCTTTTGTAAAAATACTTTTATAAAAATGCTTTCGTAAAATACTTTTATACAAGTGCTTTCACAAAAGTACTTTTGTAAAAGTGCTTTCATAAAAGTACTTTCGTAAAATTCAATTAGGGATAATTTTATAAGTGGGGTTTTAAAATTCAACTAGGGATAATTTTGGAAGAAAAATGTTGAATAAGTGCTTATTGTATAAGCACTTAAAAAAATTTGGAAATTTAGACTTAAAAAATAAACCCTTATTTTTAAAATAAATACTTATTTCAGGCTTTTTTTCCAAATACCAATGAGTGATTAATGACCCAAATAAGCACTTATTTCGAATCAATACTTATTTTTAAGCACTTCCAAACATGATAGAAACCTGTTTTGACAAAAGGCCAACCCCACCCCGCCCAAATTTTCACCTGTCAAGAGCTGCCTCAACAAAAGTTACATGGTAGAAACCTGACCCGACCTATTCCCCCTGGGGTTCCAATTGATACTTATTCATGCTCAGTACCCCTCTTTTTGGTGAAGGCTATATTTGTAGATTCTTCAAATTTATTATTTTACTTGTTATAGATGTTTTATGAATATTTCACTGTAAATATTTATCTCATGCATTAGTTGGTGAACACGTTTAATGATAAACTTAGGGTCCATTTGGTTTGTAGGTGGAAACGAAATCGGAATGGTCCATTTTCATAGTCTGTTTGATTCAGATAGGAATGAGAATGGGAATTAGAATCAATAAGAATGGAATTTCATTTTCAAAGGAAAGACAGAGAATGACCATTCTCTCAAATAGGAGAATGCCATTCCACACAATAATGAGAATTAGATTCCAATTCCGTCCAACCAAACAATTTGAATCAGAACAATCCATTCTGGTTCCGATTCCAGACCCCTATTCCACGAATCAAACGGGTTCTTTATTTCTAAGTTATATGACACAATATCATCGATATCTCTATTCATGATTTTTGAAAACTACATTACACATGACATAGCATCGACAAAAATGTATCTCCATGTCTATTAATAAAAAGTAGCCCAGCAACATTGGAATACCTGGAACAAGATGGGAAGGAAAGTGACCCATTGAACCGGATGTGGGCTTTGTAATCAATCTGCTTCAACCCGAACAAATACATGGATTGGAACCTGATATGTTCACTCAAGCTAGACCCAATCTAATATGGTTACATCAAGTTGAGTTTGGGTTGTGTTTGGCAATCAGGTAAGATAGCTTATTGTACTTGAAAAAAAAAATCAGTTCAAGTTTAAAAAGTCAGATGATACCGTCTGGTAAGAATCATTTGTCAATGGTCCTTCTCTTAAAAGTCTTAGTTTCCACTTAAATGTTAATATTGCCCTCGTGATTTAATATAGAATGTCCATTAGTCAATGTTTTCATTATAATTGTGAACCCCACAAGTGATGGATTTGACTAAAATACCCTCTTATTGATAAATTGACTGAAATAACCTGATAACGATAAATTGACTAAATCGATATTAAAAGGTGCAACAACCAATACCACGGGCGCCAATTGGACTTGATGAACAATGAATTGACAACAAAAATGCTTGAAAAGTTGGAAACGCCTTTGCAAATTAAAGTTTTGGTTCTTTGACAGAAATAGGATTTTAGAAATTAGTTTTGAGAAAATATATATTAGCATATCATGAGAGAAAGAAATGCAGTCAGGCTTGCGATGCGGGGATAAGAGTTTGGCTTCAGCCTTTGCAAGTCTATGTTCACACCATCCAAACACCCTCTTGCAATCTTACATTGAGAATATCTCCCATAAAATAAAAGCACAGATATTCCCAAATCATAACAAATTGTACTAACTGAAGCCGAATTCATACTCTTTCGGAGTTGATTAAAGCAAATTGTATGAGTTTTGGCCATATTAAGCGTAGGGCTACAAAACTGTTTGTCCCAATTTGAATTCGAGTTCAATTTAGTTTAGGATATCCAAGTTGAACCCATTTAGAATTGGATCAAATATGGATATGCAATCTGATATTGATTATCCCATTCAATTCAGTTAGAAAATTTATGCTTATATATGCTTCAAATTTATTATGCATTTATTAGTAAAATTGGTTTAAAGTCTATATTTTTTACTAAAAGTACACACTTAGAATAATGTAGGACAACCCATTTTAATATTGAGAAACCTTTTCAATTTAATTTTATTAAAATGCATCTACCAAAAAATTTATTAAAATACAAATATTTACAAATAAAGCCAGATCTAATCTCTAAAATAACACAAAATATATGTATATATAACTTAAATAATCCAAACTTGTCTTCTCTTTGGCAACGAAATTTTTATTGAAGACAAGTTTGGATTTTTCACAATTAATGACCTACTCTAGCATGTCCTTAAATTGAGTTAGAACCAATTACCTCTAAGTATATATGGGTTCTCAAGAAAATCGTGATATCATACACAAAGAATAGATGGGAAATAGAAAGAACTTGGTGAAAAGTTTGTATATATACCTTGAATATGCTCTTCTTCTTCAGATCTAAGTAACAACTTTGTTAAGAATTCCACAGCTAAGATGAAAAGATTAGAGCTAAGGTTCTCTTTGTCTAAGACCTCATGTTGGAGTAAAATGACCTTAGGTGTACCATTTAATTAATACTGAAAAAGGCACTATAGAGATACATTCATAAATGAGGATACATCACTCCTAAGTAAAATGACCTTAGGCATCCAGGACCACATTTTTTATGTCAAAGAAAGTGACACATCTCATATATAACGATAACATTATCACTCATACATCTTACAGGTTCAAAGGCAACTCGAGTAGGGGAGATGCATTTGTCTAATAGACCAACAAGTTTGCGAGAACGATGTTTTACTAAAACACTCTCTGTAGTTTTATGGATTTTGCATTTTACTAAAGATGAAAATGTAAAATGACAGTTTTAACCCAAACATCTGTTTATTAAAATAAATTTAATCAAAATAAAATAAAAATAAAAAATATTTTTTTTGCCCCTAATAAGACATGAACCTCTGCTCTGTTTTTGCTCTATTTGGTCAATTTTGTCTTCTATAAGAAAAAGTGTTAGCAGTACTTTTGGAATAAACAACCATGGGCCCATGCCCTTGAACATTTTTTTGATTTTCAACTCAGTATAGGTAGGTCATCATGTTATGATTTTTAGATGGCAAAACAAATAGTTATTAATGAAAGGTCGATTAAATAAATAGGTTGTAAATTATAGGGGCGTTTTAGTAAAATGAAAATTATAGGTTAGGCTTTAAGTAAATCCATGAAACTACAGGGGGTATTCTAATAAATGACCCAATCTAAAATTGACTTTATAGAAGACAATGATGAATTTGTAATCTTGTACTTTGAAACAAACATGATTTTCAGGTATAAGACAAATAAATTTATGGTTCAATCTATGCAATAGTCTATTATCAATAAAAAGAAAAAAAAACAAATACCAACTATTACAATAATTATTAGTATATTTACAAGTTATATAAGGGACTACGTTATAGGGTTCCCATATATCTCAACCTATTTATTATTGCTGGGGAAATTTTAAGTTACTTGGTTTATGTAGTTGAATAATAATTAGGGAAAATTCCTAATTAGTACTCTATACTTTTGTCTCCAAATTTTAAAATGTGACAATTCAATACCCAAACTTTCGAAATGTGACAATCTAGTACCTACCGTTAATTAGCTGTTAATCAACCGTTAAGTGGCATTTGAAAAAGACATAGATGCCCTTCAAGTGTCATTTAATTTTGTTTATCAACCATTTAAACGTTGACAAAAAATTAACAATTCCAAATCCTTACCTCTTCCATTTAAGAAAGTTGAAGTCACATTTGAGTGAGTATTCTGGTGACCCCAACTTTCTTAAATATAAGAGGCAAGGATTTGGGACTGTTATTTTTTGTCAATGTTTGGATGGTTGATAAAGAAAGTTAGATGACACTCAAAGGGCATTTGTGTCTTCTTCAAATGCCACTTAACGACTGATTAACAGTTAGTTAATGACAATCACTAGATTATCATGCTTTGAAAGTTCGAATACTGAATTGTCGCATTTTAAAGTTTGGGGACTAAAGTGGCACTAGGCCCAAAGTAAAATGTACTGATCGGGAATTTTCCCTAATAATTAATCTTTACTAATTTTTATGTGGATAGTGTTGAATGTAGTGTATATATCTTGTAAGTAACAGAAGATCGGGGCTTTTAATCCTCTTTTTTTTTTTTTTTTATTTTACTTCAATTACCGAATCTCTTGCCTTATTTATTTAAGAAGGAGAATGATACAAAGTTCAGTACATTAGGTAACAATTGGGCTGATGGTCAATAACAAAAATGGTCAGCAGTTTTAACCTTCATAAATGCTTGAATTGTCACAATCATAATTTGGCTTGCCTGGCTGGTTTGTTAAATTCAACCCAAATTGGTTGTTATTGTATATCCAATTTGCCACGTAATAAGTGGGCTTTTTTTTTGAAAAGAATAGAAATGTATTGCACACAACAGGGTAGTACGTCGTCCCCAAAAGTCATAAATAAGAAGAAGAGAAGGGGAAAGAGATGTGACGCTAAAATCTAAAGAAAAAGAAGAAAGAGCCTCATGAACAAGTCAGCCAACGGCCTGATTTGTTTCTCTGAAAACATATTGATACTGACAATCTCCTTTGATCAGATCTCTCCTCTTCAAATAATTTGAGATAATACCTTTCTACTTCCAAAGAATATCTACTTTCCTTTTGAGGCAGGAGATGACAGGAAATAATACCTTTCTGCTTCCAAGTCATCAAAGTGGGCTTTGATGACTTGAATTGGTTAGCTGGGTTGAGATTTCTTTGTCTATTGGGTCGATTTTTTATTTAATGTGTAAAACCAGTGATTTACCAAATATTATTTTTTGAAGCCCCATAGGCAAAATTCACCGATTGATGTTAGCCCAGAAGGCCCAAAATCACATAGATGTTAGCTCAAACAAAATTTGGTACAATTCATGAATTTAGGCTGCATTTGGTAAGAGTGTAAAAATTGAATCAAGGATAATTTGTACTTCGCTTCAATTTAACCTATATTTGGTAAAGAATAGATTTTTGTATTGAAAACTACGAAAATTTGTTTTTCTGGCATATTGCATAGACAATGAAATAAAAAATTGTTTAAAAAAATGAATGTAAATTTTGCATGGTCAATATAAAAATGGTAGATTCCAATGTTGAAATTGGTATTTGTGCAAAATTTATCGCTGCTAAACCAACCAATTTTACATTTTCATGCATATTTGTATTCTTACCAAACCAAACACAGCCTTTACACCGAGAAAGAGCAACATATAACAATAGAGCGACAGACCACCTATACATTCATAAAGTAAAATTCTAAAAATGTACACAAATTGGGGTTAACATGGACCAAGTCAGAATTGGGGCAAAATAGGACCTATTGTTGTAGATAAAGCCTAAAGCCTAATCTGGCCCGAAACTCCAAGTATCTAGGATTATTCCTATAATTCTGAATCGAACTGGGCCAAGCTCAGACCAGAAAATCTCTCCTCACTCCAGGAATTACTGGTTTCAAAAGTAGTAAAGGACAACGTGGTCTTACTTTGATCTGATTCATCTGAAAACACTTCTTGGTTCCTGAATGATGAATTGATCAGCCGTACTTGTCCAAATCTGGCTTCCCCTTTTTGCACTTGCTTCTAACCAATTTGCCTTTATCTAATCTACGTTTCGATCCTCCTAACTTGTACTTATCGTTCCTCAACTTTTTTGCATTTGTCTTGTATGAATCCTTTAAACATTTAGCCGTGCGATCAGAACAGGGCCCCACCCTTCAACGGTCCCCAGCAGAAAAATCTCCTGCGGTTCTGCTGTCTGGTTTAATTAGAAGATTCCCAAAATTTGGCACATCACTGACGCTGTTACCAGTGAATGGATAATTGTTGAATAATATACCAAGATTTTAATTCATCTCAACCATTCAAATAATACATGAAAATTTCAGGAAAAAAACTAGACCATCAAAGTAATATCTTAGGGCAATGGATAAATGATAAATCTCATCCACCAAAGGGTCTCTTTGGTTTGTGGGAATAGGGATTTGGAACCGTAAGTTACATTCTCATTTTTTGTGGTTTTGGATTCTTCTATTTGAAGGAAATGGCCATTCCCTTCCTCTTCCTTAGGAATTAGAGTCTATTCCAGTTAATTTTAATTTTTATCTGAACTGAAAGGGTGAGAGGAATAGATCATTTTAATTCTGATAACCCATAGATTTTGATTTCGATTCCAATTGCAAACCAAATGGACCCTAAGGCTGTGTTTATTTAGAGTGTAAATCTCATCAATGGAGTTTCACACTGAACCTTGAAAAAAGTGAGCATTGAAAATGTGCCTATCAATGTAAAAATTACAGATGTAGTTTTTACATCGACAATCGGTGTAAAACTTCACTATAAATAATGTTTTATATCGATTTACAATATAAACCAAACCTCCATCCAAACGTCTACAAAATTGAACCGCTGATGATGCTTTACATTGCATCCAGACGTTGACAAAACCAAACCGGTGGTGACATTTTACACCGCAAACAAACGCAGCCTAAATTTATTTGAAACCTTGATGCATCAATCAGATGGTTGAGATTAATTCATTGACCTTAAGAGAATACTTTTTTGGACGAACCGGATTAAATAAAACCTTAATACATCATTTTGAGAGGTAAGATTAATTAATATTAAGATACCATTTTGACGGTTTGATCTTATATCACTCGACATAACTCGTATATATTTAGTAAAAACTTTCATGCATCGCTTTGAATTCAGGCTCAAATGACCTCTACTCCTATTTTATCTACACGGGTCAGAGATCCGTTGTACACCATGGGCCTCCGGGTCGGTCCAAAGCATCTGTCATTGTAGTAAACTACCAACCATGGCCCATGGGCCGACATGGCACGTACAACTTATAAATAATGTCCGTGGCAGCCAAATACAGCCACAGTATGGTCATTGAAGGGATAATGGATTAATGGTAATGGGTACGCGTAGATCGCACTACAATGGTGCGCGTCGCACTGTAGCGGTAAGGTTGTGTTTGGACTCTAGTGGTTCTTGAATCTTGAGTCCAAACGTCTACTGTGGTCGTAGTCCACCTATCAAGCTTATGTGGCGTGTCCTGATTGGCCCACTATCCAGTGAGTTTTCTTAAGGAATTGCGGTGAAGATGACGCAATCCTCCATATTCGCGGCCGGTGATGGATCATGTGCCCAGAAAGAGGCAAGCACCTTCGTTCGTGGGTCCTCTGGGGCCCATGGGCCCAAAGCAAAATAACGATTCCAAACTTCCACACAAAGGACTTCGGATTAGATCGCCGTTCTTCACCCAGAAAGTATTCAACGGGTACCTACACTTTTCCACGATCCCCATGCTCTGCTGTCCTACGACTGTTTGTACAACTCTATCCCTAAATTTGCAGAAAAACACAAATTTGCCCTTTTAAGTTTCTGTAGAGTAGGTGTTTGACAAAAGTCCAATTGCACTGGTACAGCAAAGCAAGGCGAGGGACTATTATTGTGACTAGAGAGAAAGGTAGGTTAACTATAGCTTGTTTAACAATAATTGATAGTAGGCACTGGTCCAAATAGGCTTTTAAGTGTTTATAGTCTTGTAGGCCCTGCAATCCGATCAACCAAACAACCCCTTGATCATCGGTTTACCTTGTTCTTCACTAGATATAGTGGTAAATTTCAGTGTTTTAAAAACCTACCTAGAGGCCAAACCATTTTTGCCTCTTGACATGGATCACCGGTCCGACCATCTGGATCGAACGGGTCAGACCATGCCAAATTTAACACACACATATATACACACGCATATATATATATATATATATATATTTATGTATGTAATTATATATGTATTTTATCAATAAATAATATATAATTATGGTCTATATATAATATATGTATTATTTTATATTTAATTTATACTTTTTAATTTTATTTTAAAGTTTTTATTTATAAAAATATTAAAAATTGTAATTTGAGGCCACAAAAGGGGATTCTTGAAAAAAAATGGGGCAAAGTACCTATGACACCTTAGAACACATAGATATCAAAAATCTATTCAAAATTAAAAAAAAAATCACCTCAATCAAACATCGAAATGTAAAATTATAGTGTGCAACCCATGATCCGATCATCGGATCACACAGGTCAATAGTCCAACCGTCTGAATTAGACGGTTTTTGACCATGCACCAGGTCAAAGGCAGGTTAAAAGCACTGGTAAATTTTCCACTTTGCATGGGTGTAAGTAGTTGATGGCCATATCAACTCATTTGCCCTATTGACCCAAAACCAAAATATGTGATAGGAGAGAAGCTGACTATAGGTGTAAGTGGTTGATAGTTTGGAGCTGGATTTAAATTAAAACAAACAGCAAGCCTGGTTGAATTTGTATTTCTTTATCATATCATATTTTTCCTAGTTAAATATGAGTTCTTAAGAGTGATAGGCAGATGTAAATGCTCTCACGATAAGAGCTCAGCTCCTTATTATGTGAATGTCCTTGGAATCCAAAGAGTTTCCATCTGATCAAAGTAATTCATTTCATCACTGGAGTGAGGAATTGGGAATAAAAGTCTAAGACTCCGGAGTGAACTGAAATCCCTTCTCTCAAATTCTTAAATGTCTATTTCGACTTGAAAGAATGGTTGAGCCAGTCCAAACACTAATTATGAAGTTTCTTTGCCATGTGAGTCGTCTACCGAGTACATGTGATGGCCAGGCCCCTCTGATAGTCTGATAGACCAGTCATCCCGCAAACCCGTGATAAACATTTATTCCTAGATTTTATCTTTACAGTTTACACAGACACAGACATGGCAATTCTGCTATTTCTAACCCCCGCAATGGCCTATTATTATATATCATCCACCCCAAATTCGATTCCCCACTGCCAATTTCTCTGCGTCTTCTTGACTCCTCAGTCTCTCTCTCTTGGTTACTTCGATAAGAAACAAAAAAGCAACTAATGCTCACATTCCTATAACAGTATAACTCCTCCCTGTCCAGTCCATCCCTCTCTCCCACACAGCAAAATCATGGCTTCTTCATCCCCATCTTTTCTCTTCTCTCTCCTTTCTCTGTTCTCCCTTTTCTCCTCCATTTCTTCATTGCCAACCATTACAGTCCCTCTCTCACAATTCAACAACAATCCATCTCCAGATCCATGGGAGAAGGTCGCCCACCTCGTCTCCGCCTCTTTACTCAGAGCCCAACACATCAAAAGTCCACCTGACACCCATCCCACCAAAACTCCTCTGTTCGCTCGTAGCTATGGTGGCTATTCAATTCCGCTCAGCTTCGGTACTCCCGCTCAAACCATCCCTTTTGTCATGGATACTGGTAGTGATCTGGTCTGGTTCCCTTGCACCCATCGCTATCTCTGCAAGAATTGTCCTTTCTCAAGTCTGAATCTCACGACTGACCCAATTTTCATCCCTAAAGCATCCTCCAGTGCGAAGGTTTTGGGCTGCAAAAACCCAAAATGTGGTTGGATTCACGACCCAGATGTTCAATCCAGATGCAGAGACTGCGACCCCAATTTGAGTAACTGTACACAGATCTGCCCACCTTACGCAATTATCTATGGTTCAGGTTCGACGGCTGGGATTTTACTCTCAGACATACTCGATTTTCCCGAAACAAAGGTACCCGATTTCATTGTCGGATGCTCGCTTTTCTCCTCCCGTCAACCCTCGGGAATCGCCGGCTTCGGTCGTGGGTCACCCTCATTACCCTCCCAGCTCGGTCTGAAGAGGTTCTCCTACTGTCTTGTCTCTCACCGCTTCGACGACACCACCGAAAGCAGCACCCTTGTGTTGCACGGTGGGTCAGATTCCGACGGCGGAAAGACTAAAGGCCTTACATACACCCCGTTCGCGAAGAACCCAACCACCGGAAGACACGCATTCTCCGTCTACTACTACGTCGGCCTCAGAAAAATCACCGTCGGCGGAAAACGCGTCAGGATCCCGTACGATTATCTCACGTTGGGAGCGGACGGCAATGGTGGAACGATTATAGATTCTGGGTCGACGTTCACCTTCATGGAGAGGCGAGTGTTCGACTTGGTCGCAGGGGAATTCGAGAACCAGGTATCTCATTACCGCAGAGCAACTGATATGGAAACCATGACTGGGTTGCGTCCCTGTTTCAATGTATCGGCCGAAAAGACAATATCTCTGCCGGAATTGGTTTTTCACTTCAAAGGAGGTGCGGAGATGGCTTTACCGTTGGCGAATTATTACTCCTTCTTCGGTAAGGCAGGCGTGGTTTGCATGACAATCGTGTCGGATGACGTTGTCCCCGACACAGGCGTATCGGGCGGACCGTCTATTATACTGGGGAACTATCAGCAGCAAAATTTCTACGTGGAGTACGATCTGGAGAACGACAGGTTAGGGTTTAGTCAACAGATTTGTTGAATATCGGAGGATGTCGGCTTCGTCTAGATGCCGGTACGTTACGTTACGTCATTTTGCTGCACTGATACGTGTAAAATTCCCTACAAGAATTGTTGTATTTCTGCCACGTGGAGGATTGGCCACATGGTAAAATCATCACTCCATAGTGTCTAGAGTAATATTGGCCGTTGATATTGTAATTATTATTTTTAAACCCATTAACGTTTTTGCGTTGGATTCCAATCAGACAGTCGAGAGCTCGTGCTTTGATTGATAAGATGTTGTAGGATACTTAATAAGCCCTCAGCCCCGGTGGCATGTGGTCAATTATTTCTGAGTTGATTCCAATCGGACGGTTCTGGGTAACATGGATTGCGTTGCAATTGTAAGGATGCTATATTTGCTATCATGGCTGTAGTGCTCTTTGTTTTGAGCCAAGTCGTCGATACAGAATAACAGAAGCACTCTTTGTTTTGGGCCGTATGGTTGGACTCTAGTGAAAGTGGACCATGATACAAAAGGCTAGTTAACGGATGTGGCGCATGTTTGTTTTGGGCCTTGGGCCCATTGTTGATGACACTTTGTTTGACGTTGCTATGTGATTGTTGGTTGGTTCTATGGACTATTTTGTTGAAGGCAAATGCATAAATAATTGACATTCACATGGATATGATAGTGAAGCTCTCATAGCAACATGAACCATTGCTGTTTACGTTTATATGCAAAACACACAATAACCTATTATGATTTTTAAATTTAAAGAAAAATTTTCAATTAATCAAGTAATATATTATATAACCTATTACGAACTAATAATATACGTGAATATATATGCTGGTCGTGTCTATTGAATTCTTGTTGTAGTTTGTTTTATGTCCCAATTTGCATTTGCAGAAAACAATCCAAAGGCAAAATTTTATAGTAGTTTTGTGGTGAAAAGAGAGGGGTGTTAGTATGGACCCGATTCATATTCAATTTATGGGTCCGACGATTCAAATATGTTATTGTTATGTTTTTTTTTTTTTTCATATGGATTCTTTGACTAATGCAAAAATATAGACTAAAGTGGCGTTTGATAATACTTTTCAAACCTCTGAAGTTTGAAAATGTTGTTTTTTAGATGCCACCTATGTTTGGGTTGAGTATGAAAAAAGGATCTGAAATGCATTTTCAGATCTGAATTTGTAAGAGGTGGACCAGTGACTTAATGAGCTTAGATGTTTTCCAGACTGTGTTAAAAGACAAAAATACCCATTCTCGTTATGCCCTTCTCTCTCTCTCTCTCCTTCTTCTTCGATCTCCACCGCAAGCTTCTCCCTCTGTTCTTCTCTCTCCCCCCTCTCATCATCATCATCATCATCATCATCATCATCATCATCATCTTCTTCTTCTTCTTCTTCACTGGCGATGAACCAACAGTGTTCGATCTCCCTCTCCCTCTCTCTTTCTCCCC